ATATCTAATAGTTCATAGGTGATTCATGTCCAATGTGTGCCAAAGAAAGGAGGCATGAACATAGTAACTAGTGAGGACAATGAGTTGTTTACAACACGCACTGTCACCAGGTGGAGGATATGCCTGGGCTATCGCAAGCTAAACAAGGCCACCAAGAAAGATCATTTTCCTATGCCCTTCATCGATCAAATACTGGATAGATTGGTAGGCAAGGTATTTTATTACTTCTTGGATGGACATTCTGGGTACAATCAAATTGTCATCGCACCAGACGACCACAAGAAGACTACGTTCACAAGTCCCTATGGCACTTATGCTTTCTGGACGATACCTTTTGGACTTTGTAATACCTCGACAACTTTTCAATGCTGTATGCAAGCTATCTTTTCTAACATGGTTGAGGACTTCCTATAAATCTTTATGGATGAATTCTCCATTTCTGGAGATGACTTTGTGAAATGACTCGGTAATTTGACAAAGGTACTCAAGCGATGTGAGGAGGTCGACCTCGTGCTGAATTGGGAAAAGTGTCACTTCATGGTGGCTGAAGGCATTGTGCTAGGCCATAAGATCTCTCAAAAGGGCATTGAAGTGGACAAAGCCAAAATTGAGGTGATTGAGCAACTACCCCACCAACATCTGTCAAGGGCATTAGATGTTTCATTGGACATGTTGGATTCTATAGAAGATTCATCAAGGACTTCTCCATGATTTACAAGCCCTTAAGTGCCATGCTTCAACAAAATCAGCCCTTCGTGTTTGATAAAAATTGCCATGATGGGTTCACCAAACTAACAAACTTGTCTATGCCCCCATTGTGGTTCCCCCTATTGGACGTCACCATTTGAGCAAATGTGTGAAGCGAGAAATTTTATCGTGGGAGTTCTGCTTGGGCAACGCCGAGGTATTACTTGTCGTGGTATTGCATTTGACAAGTTTAGGTCATACTTGATAGGCACCAAAGTTATTGTTCACGTTGATAATTCAGCTATAAAATACTTAGTAAACAAGAAAGATGACAAGCCTAGACTCATTAGGTGGATATTACTATTGCAATAATTTGACTTAGAGGTAATATATAGAAAAGGTAATGAGAACCAGGTTGCAGATCATTTATCTAGGCTAGAAAACAATTCTGAATGCCATGAGATTTTAGATATTCAAGAAGCATTCCCTGATGAGAAAATTTTATATGCCACGACTATTCTGTGGTACACTGATATAGTCAATTTTCTTGTTAGTGGAATTTTGCCTTATAAATTGAAGAGCCAGGGTAGGAGGAAGTAATTCCAAATTCTACTTTTGGGACGAGCCATATTTATTCAAACAATGCGCTGATCAAATAATTCAACATTGTGTCCCTAAGGAGGAGCAAAGAGACATTCTACACCATTGTCACATAGCCCCCTGTGGAGGCCATTTTGGAGGTACGAGGATTGTTACTAAGGTCATTCAATCTGGCATTTACTGGCCTTCATTGTTCATGTATGCTCATGAGTTTTGCAGAGAGTGTGATAGATGCCAACGCACTGGGAACATTTTAAGGTGATATGAAATGTCATTGTAAAATATTCTGGAGATCAAGCTCTTTGACATGTGGGGCATTGACTTCATGGGACTGTTCCCATATTCTTTTGGAAACTTGTATATCTTGTTTGCTGTAGACTACGTATCTAAGTGGGTTGAAGCAATTTCAACACCAAAGAATGACTCTAAAACCATGCTTAAGTTCCTTCACAAGAACATCTTCACCCAATTTAGAGCACCTAGAGCCATCATTAGTGATGAGGGAACTCATTTTGATAACAAGCTAATTGCCAAGGCATTACAAAGATATGGATTACGACACAAAATTGCCATGTCATATCACCTGTAAACCAATGGGCAAGTTGAAGTGTCCAACCGAGAGATTAAACAAATCATGGAGATGGTGGTGAATCCTATAAGGAAGGACTGGTCCCTAAAGCTTGATGAAGCACTATGGGATTATCAAACGATATTCAAAACACCTTTGGGAATGTCACCTTTCAAGATGGTGTATGGGAAATCATGCCACCTACTTGTGGAGTTAGAGCATAAGGTATATTGGGATATCAAGAAGCTTAATTTTGATGCACAACTAGCTGGGGAGAAACGATTACTCAATCTGAGCAAAATAGAAGAATTTAGAGCATAAGCATATGAAAATGTGAAGCTTTACAAGGAAAAAATCAAGATGTGGCATGATCAAATGCTTTTGCCAAGACATTTTCATATTGGCCAACATGTGCTCATTTTCAACTTGAGGCTGAAGCTTTTTCACGGCAAACTAAAGTCACAATTGTTAGAGTATGCCCAAATACCAATCATATAATGATTGTAATAATACATTTATTTACCAATTTTATTGAATAAAGGCATTGCCACTATTATTTTCAGTTATATGTTTGTGTTTAACATAAAATGAAAGATGATAAAGTTCATATAATTACATTATTATTATTAAAAGATCCATAGTCAAGTATTGTTATCGGAATGGACAATAATAATATGCTTAAGACTAACATGTTATTGATTGATGACAACGAGTTATCATAGACATAAAGATGTTAGAATTGATACATGATTATATTGTTAGAGAACAATGTATTGGATTGATCCACCATGAGCATATGTCTTGGATTATTATGTGACGGTCATAACATTGCTCATGGTGATGACTATATGTATGATCATCAGACTTGATATAAATGTTATCCCAATATATATTGTTGTATGTTTTGATACAGTTAAACATGCTCTGTAACTGGTTGTACTATAAAGAGTGTTATTGAATATATCTCGATATATGTAGTGGGGTGTGTATAGTTAAGATATGATTTTTCCTTCCTACATAATAGGAAATATATCACAGGCCACTTGATTGAGTGAGACTAGAAATGCATGGCCATGCTCGAATAAGTTGATATGAGATATCACAAATTATTCGTTAATTATAGTCTACTCTAGATATCAAGAAACAATAGATGGATTATACAAGTGTGATTGTTCCAAGACTTGTGTCTATTCTAGATATAAAGAACAAAAGGATGTAATACATAAAAGAGTTAATCACGAAGATGATATGTTGAATAATAATTTCTTGTAGCTTAGGTGACAATGATATATTACTATATGTCACTCATTATATGTAATATTAGAATTGTTCTAATAATTACTACAAATGTTACAAGAACCTACAGGGTCACACCCTAGGATTGAAATGAACAAAGGTGTACAATTTTTTGTATGTTACTAAAATATATCTAGAGTTAATATATGTATATTTGATATACTTATGATTTTAATTATCTCAAATATAGTAAGTAAACATTAAAAGAATGTAATTATGATTACAACTCTTTTAAAAGATATTTAATTCAGAATAATTAAATAAGAGATATTGTAATTCAGATTATAAGTCTTTAATGGATATTTAATTTGAATTAATTAAATAAGATTTTAATTAATTTGAAATAACTTAAAATCCCTAATATGTTAGGGAAACTCGGATATTTAAAGTGAGGTAAGGTCTAGCAGCCACTTCTTCTTCAGCCGTTTTTCTCAAAACTATTTTTGGGAAAATAAAATTTTGCTCTCAATCGAGTGAACTGAGTAGAGGCCGAGACGTGTTTTCGTGGAGGCTTACGATTCAAACTGTTCGTGATCACCATTAGGCGTTGTTGTCTTTACTGTTTTTCAAGGAACCCATTGTAAGTTTTGCATACTTGGATTGCTGGTGAGACCGTCAAGTTTTTGTTTCCGCTACGCCATGGGGTGCGCCGATAGTCCCAACAACGATGGTCTGGACCCTTTGAAGTACACCATGTCTACCCTCATGGCACTGTTGATATCAAGAATATGGATGATGGGACCATTTTCAAAGTTAACAGTCAATATCTGAAAGCTTATTAAGGACCTCCGCCCTTGTGTGACAAATCATCACTCTTCTTGCAAGATGTCTGAATTTGCAGAGCATTTTGAAGATGCCATGACATTTAGGATTTACTCCTATGCATAAATAAAACATTTATTTTATTTCATTTTATTTTATATTCAGTTATTTTTTGGTTAATTGAGTTATTTTGAATTTTTAGGGACCCACGCAGATGGCATGTAAGGACCGTACGATTAAGGACATAGGAGTGGGATGTACCAAGACAAAAATAGGAGGGAAAATCTTCACTTTTGACTCTTTAAATTTTTTTCCTTTTTTGGGTTTACTTTTACATTTAATGCATTTGTATTTTTCCTCAACCCACACCCCATCCACCAGTTAAATAACCCCTAATTTCTCCCCTATATATTTTATTTCTATCTTTTTACTCTCTCACTCAAACTTCATATATTTCTCTTCTTCTTCCCTCCTTCAACCAAAAACCATAACCGAAAGCTTCAAGATTTTTCATATTTCTTTCTTTTGTCAACCAAACAATGGTGCGTTCACGTCCCCCGAGCATGACTCCGTCATCTCCACCACGTTTCATCGACGAATCGCTGCACGAATGATTTCAAGGACTCAAAAACCACCAGGTTTTCTTTGAGTTAGAATTCATCTTCTCTAATGCTGAAGATGCCGACCTTAGAGGCAATGTCATGGGTATTGTCCACCAACACAAGTGGCAAAAATTTGCTAGGCATCCGGGGAACATGAATGCCTCTGTTATGAATGAATTTTATACCAACTTAACCGACCCAAATCAACATGTCATGGTGGTTTGCGGTATTTCTACTCGCTTTACCCCTTCGGCTATTAATCGCTACTTTAAATTGCAGGATATTATTGATAGACACACCATATTCACAAAGGATATAGATAACGAGACTTACCATGGCATATTGGAGGACCTTTTCTTTTCAAATACAAAGTGGAATGGGTAACAAGATATTCGACTATCGGTGGATCGCGAGAGGGTACAACTGAGGGCTAAGTTGTGGAATCATTTCATGAAGCATAAGCTTCTCCCCACTGCCCACAACACCACTATCTCATTACAGAGGATGATTCTGATGCAATCTATTTTGGTGGGGCGCTCCATTGACATAGGAAAGATAATCGTGGAACATGTTCATACTTGTTTGAAGTGACCCTCCAGTGCCCTGGTATTTCCAAACCTCATCACGAACTCTACCATAAGAAGAAGGTGTCGGAGGACCAGTTTGACGAAATATTACCTGGGTTGTCTGGTATTACAAAGGCCAAGCTACTTACGTTGCTTGGACTCAAGGAAAACAAGGGCAAGGAAAAAGAGGAGAGCATCTCCCAAGCTGATGCAAACCAAGATGCCATGGCAAAACTAGATGCTCTAGAGGAGGTATCCAATCCAAGTGGACCCATGATCACGTGGCAAAGCTGACCAGTAACCTTACGACCTTCTTTTCCTATGTCAAGCTTATGGATGAGGTTGTGGCGATTACCTTCATGGAGCTCCTCCCGCACATTGCTTTTGATCTCTTAGTCTTCCCTGATATGCTCTTATGTACCTCTACAGATGCCATGGCATCAGCAGATGCTCCCCAACCCGCTAATGAGGAGACATAACAACGTTTATATATATATATATATATATATATATATATTTATTTTGCACGGTGTTTGAAATGCATGGTTATAGCCCTTTTTCAAATTACAATGGTTGGATTTTAAAATATGGCATGTATGTCGTGCCTTTATATATTTCAGTTATATTTCTCATCTCATCTTATTCCTTTATATGTAAAACGAGTTTATTTTAAATTGTAATCCTATAAAGATTCAAAAGGATTAGAAGAACGGACTGAGCTAAAGGCGAGAAGATACCTAGAGAGTAGTCTTAGGTTTTAAGGTTTTTGTTCTCCCATTGGCTTGGGATGGGCTACCTTAGTTATTGTTTTTGGGCTATAACCATTGTATCTTATTTATTGTTTATATTTGTTATGTGTGTAATGCAATAAATGCTAAAATAAGAATGAATATTGATGAGATCAATAAGGGCCTAATATTAAAATGAAAAATGATGAGATATTTAAGCAAACCCCTCTTTATAATCTAAGTTAACTTAATCATCCTATATTTACCCTCGTTAAGGCTTCGATCGATATTGTGTGGGCTTTGCCAAAGCATTGGCACATAAATCTATCTTAGTTAAACGTGAAGAATAAGCAAGTGATATTCATCAGTTTAGATATTTGTAATAACTTAGGTGTGTTATTCTAATAGGATTAGAAACCTGGAGGTTAAGTATTTGGATAAGTCATGAGATGATTTGAACAAGAGTTGTTCACCAAAAGCAGGAGTTACATGAGATGTAACTAGTAAAGTGTTACTTACCTAAATAATCAATATCCTAAAAGAAAAACCAAATCTGATTTAGGAAATTGATGAATTATGGATCCTCACTCACTAGAAAAATTTTCGTTAATTTTTTTCAAAATTAAAACAGATAGGGTTTTTAATTTTAAATAAAATAGTGGGAGTAATTTGTAAATAAAGACATGTTTTTAATTTTTTTAAATTCGCTAAATTTACTTACTTTAATATTTCCATTGTTGTAGATTTAATGGCAAACAACATTTTATCACTGCGATCACTCCTTGAGAAGGAGAAGCTTAATGGCATAAACTTCCTTGACTGGTTTCGTAATTTAAGAATTGTTCTCAAAGAGGAAAGGAAAAAATATGTCATTGAAAAATACGTTCCTGATGAACCGGAAGCTAATGCTTCAAGAGCTGAAAAAGACGAATTCAAGAAATATATGGATGATATGTTAGACGTTGGATGTCTTGCTTGCCACCATGACTGATGAGCTTCAGAAACAACATGAGGACATGATTGCATATGAGATGATTCAAAATCTCAAGGAATATATATGAAGGGCAAGCACGTCAAGAGTGGTATGAGACCTCTAAAGCTTTATTTCAATGCAAAATGGCAGAGGGATTTCCTGTAGGAGTTTATGTCATCAAGATGATGGGCTACATCCAAACTTTGGAAAATTGGGATTTCCTCTCAAAGATAAATTGGCTACCGATGTTATCCTACAATCGTTTCTAGATAGCTTTAGCCAATTTGTCCTTAATTTCAACATGAATGAAATTAACAAGACTTTTCCATAGTTACTTGGCATGTTACGAACTGCTGAAAGTAACATGAAAAAGGTTGGACCTAAGCCTATTCTGATGGTCCAGAAGGACAAAGGAAAGGGAAAGAAAAAGGTAGCGGCAAAGTCTAAGGGCAATGGTAAGGCCAAACCAAAAGGAAAAAATGCATTGAAACCTAAAGGGGGAGTTAGCAAGGAAGGAAAATGTTTCCATTGCGATAAGACCAGACACTAGAAGAGAAACTGCCATGTTTACCTTAAAGAGGTCAAGAAGGCAAAAGAAAACGGAATGTTTGTTTCAGGTATTTATGTTATTGATGTTAACATATCAACATCTACTTCTTGGGTAATAGATACCGGTTTTGGTTCTCATATTTGTACTTCTGTACATAGACTGCAAAAAAGAAGGAATCTGGCTAAAGGAGACGTAAACCTACGATTGGGAAATGGAGCAAGAGTTGTTGCATTAGCTATAGGGACATATGTTTTATCTTTGCCTAGTGGACTTGATTTAAATTTAGAGGATTGTTATTTTGTGCCTAGTTTGACTAAGAACATTATTTCTATTTCTTGTTTGGACAATATTGGTTTTCATATTATTATTAAGGATAATTGTTGTTCTTTTTATCTCGATAATGTTTTTATGGTTCAACACACTTGGTTAATGGTCTCTATATTTTGGATCAAGAAAACACCATTTATAATATAAATACTAAAAGATCAAAAACAAATGACTCGAATCAAACTTATCTTTGGCATTGTTGTTTAGGACATATAAGTGAGAAACGCATATCAAAACTCCATAAAGATGGATTATTAGATTCATTTATTTTCGAACAATATGATGTATGTGAATCTTGCTTGTTGGGAGAAATGACTAAAGCTCCTTTTAATAGTAAAGGTGAGTGAGCAAGTGATTTTTGGGGTTAATACATAGTTATGTTTGTGGACCAATGAATACACAAGCCAGAGACGGATTCCATTACTTCATTACTTTCACCGATGGCTTCAGTCGATATGGGTATATTTATACTATGTGCCATAAATCTGAAGCCTTTGAAAAGTTAAAGGAATTTAAAAATAAAGTAAAAAATCAACTAGGCAAGTGTATTAAGGCACTTTGATCAGATCAAGGTGAAGAATACTTAAGCATAGAGTTTGATGAACTCCTGAAAGAATGTGGGATTGTTTCACATCTTACACCACCTGGTACACCACAATGGAATAGAGTTTCTGAAAGAATGAATCAAACACTATTAGACATGGTTCGATCGATGATGAGCCATATTGATCTTCTGACTTCTTTTTGGGGACATGCACTTGAAACAGTCGTTTTCACACTAAATTGTGTTCCATCTGAATCGGTTCAAAAGACACCATACGAGATATGGACTGGGAAACGTCCTATATGTCTTTTATGAAGATTTGAGGTTGTGAAGCTTATGTAAAACATCATATGTCTACAAAGCTCAAACCTAAATCTCATAAGTGTATATTTGTTGGAAATCCTAAAGAATCTAAGGGGTACTATTTCTTTAACCCTAACGAGAACAAAGTGTTTGTTTCTCAAACAGAAGTTTTTCTCGAAAGAGAATTTCTCTCAAAGAAAGGAAAGGTAGAAATATTGAAGTTCAAGAACAACAGATCAATGAACCTAAAGTTGAACGTGTTTCACAAGTTGTGTGGAACAATAAACAGATTTAAAGACACCAATGTACATATCCACAAGAGAATGTCATCCACCTACGAGATTTTGATTCTTATTACCACACATGGAGAAGTTCTTCTTATGGATCAATATGATCCTAGAACTTATCAAGAGTTAGTGTATAGCATAGACTCTGAGAAATGGCTTGAAGCCATGAGATCTAAGATAGATTCCATGACAGTAAACCAAGTCTGGACTTTGGTTGAACCACCTGAAGGGGTCAAACCTATAGGTGTAAATAGGTTTTGAAGAAGAAAACTGACATGGATGGTAATGTACAAACGTACAATGGGCGATTAGTCGCTAAAGGTTTTCGACAAGTTCATGGTGTATAATATGACGAAACATTCCCCCTGTAGTTATGTTTAAGTCCATCCAGATCTTTCTCGCAATAGTTGCATTCCATGATTATGAAATCTGGAAAATGGACATCAAAACCACTTCCGTTAATGGAAAACTCAAAGAGGATATGTATATGACACAACCATAAGGTTTTGTCGCTACAGGAAATAGTAGAAAGGTTTGTAAGCTACAGAGGTCTATTTATGGACTAAAGCAAGCTTCTCAAAGCTAGAATATTCTTTTAAATGATGCAATCAAGGAATTTGGTTTTATCAAAAATGAAGATGAGCCTTGTGTTTATAAGAAGGCTAGTGGGAGCATTATTTCTTTCTTAATCTTGTATGTAGACGTCATACTCATAATAGGAAATGATATACCTACTTTACAGTCTGTTAAGACTTGGTTAAGTAGTTGTTTTCTATGAAAGATTTGGGTGAGGCAGCGTATATCTTAGGAATTAAGATCTATAGAGATAGATCAAGATGACTTCTAGGTCTGAGTCAAAGCACATGTATAGACAAAGTGCTAAAAAGTTTCATTATGGAATAATCCAAGAAAGGGTTTTTGCCTATGAGACATGGTATTTCTCTTTCGAAGGAAATGTGTCCTTCAAATCCATAAGAAAGAGAACAGATGAATAATATTCCATATGCTTTAGCTATTGGTTATATCATGTATGCCATTATATGTACTCGACCAGATGTATTGTATGCTTTAAGCATGACGAGTAGGTATCAGGCAAACCCTAGTGAAAATTATTGGGTTGCAGTTAAAAATATCCTTAAGTACTTAAGAACAACTAAGGATAAATTTCTTTTCTATGGAGGGGAGGAAGAGCTTAGCGTAAAAGGTTATATTGATGCCAACTTTCAAACTGACAAAGATGACTCACGATCGCAATCGGGTTTTGTGTTTTGTCATAATGGAGGTGTTGTGAGCTAGAAAAGTTCGAAAAAGACACAGTAACTGATTCTACAAAAGAGGGTGAATACATTGCATCCAGTGAAGCAACAAAAGAGGTTGTTTGGATCAAGAAGTTCATATCGAAACTAGGGATTGTTCCCAGCATATCATATGTTATAGAACTCCGTTGTGATAATAATGGAGCCATTACACAAGCAAAGGAACCCATATCTCATCAACGGTCCAAACACATTCTTAGGCGCTTTCATCTCATTCGAGAGATAATAGATCGAGGAGATGTGGAAATATGCAGAGTACACACAGATGACAACATTGTTGATCCCTTGACGAAGCCTCTTACACAGCAGAGGCATGATTATCACACTGAGTCACTCGGTATTAGATAAGTGAGTGATTGCTCTTAGTGCTAGTGGGAGATTGTTAGAGTATGCCCAAAGATCAATCTTATGATGATTGTAATAATACATTTATTTTCTGATTTTATTAAATAAAGGCATTGTCACTTTTATTTTTAGTTATATGTTTGTTTTCAACATAAACTAAAAGATAAAAATCTCCATATAATAACATTATTATTAAATGATCCATAGTCAAGTATTTTTATGGGCATGGACAATAATAATACGATTAAGACTAACATGTTATTGATTAGCATGTATTGATTGATGACAACAAGTTGTCATTGACATAGAAATGTCAGAATTGATACATGATTATATTGTTAGAGAACAATGTATTGGATTGACCCACCATGAGCATATGTCTTGGATTATTATTTGGCGGTCATAATATTGCTCATTGTGATGACTATATGTATGATCCTCAGATTTGAGATCAATGCTATACCAACATATATTGTTGAATGTTTTGATACAGTTAAACATGCTCCGTAACTGGTTGCACTATAAAGACTATTCTTGAATATATCTTGATATATGTAGTGGGGTGTGTATGGTTAAGATAGGATTTGTCCTTCCTACATAATAGGAAATATATCACAGGCCACTTGATTGAGTGAGACTAGAAATGCATGGTCATGCTCGAATAAGTTGATATGAGATATCACAAATTATTTGTTAATTATAGTCTACTCTAGATATCACGAAACAATAGATGGGCTATACAAGTGTGAATGTTCCAAGACTTGTGCCTATTTTAGATATAAAGGACAAAATGATGTAATACATAAAAGAGTTAATCACGAAGATGATATGTCGAATCATAATTTCTTGTAACTTAGGTGACAATGAAATATTGCTAGATGTCACTCAGTGTATGTAATATTAGAATTGTTCTAATAATTACTACTAATGTTACAAGAACCTACAGGGTCACACCCAAGGATTGAAATGAGCAAAGATGTACAATTTGTTGTACGTTACTAAAATATATCTAGAGTTAATATATGTATATTTGAAATACATGTGATTTTAATTATCCGGAATATAATAAGTAAATATTAAAAGAATGTAATTATGATTACAACTCTTTTAATAGATATTTGATTCGAAATAATTAAATAAGAGTTTAAATAAACGTTAAAGATTGTAATTCAGATTATTAGTCTTTAATGGATATTTAATTTGAATTAATTAAATAAGATTTTAATTAATTTGAAATAACTTAAAATTCCTAATATGTTAGGGTAACTCGGATATTTAAAGTGAGGTAAGGTCTAGCAGCAGCTTCTTCTTCAGCCGTTTTTCTCAAAACTATTTTTGGGAAAAGGTAATTTTTCTCTCAACCAGGTGAACTGAGTAGAGGCCAAGACGTGTTTTCGTGGAGGCTTACGATTCAAATCGTTCGTGATCATCATTACTCGATGTTGTCTTTGCTCTTTTTCAAGAAACCCATTGTAAGTATTCACAACCTTTCCTCTCGATTTTGGTTTTGCATACTTGGATCGCTGGTGAGACAGTCGAGTTGTTGTTTTCGCTGCGGCATGGGGTGCGCCGACGGTCCCAACAACGATGGTTTGAACCCTTTGAAGTACACCATGTTTACCCTCATGGAGCTGTTGATATCAAGAATATAGATAATGAGACCATTTTCAAAGTTAATGGTCAACGTCTAAAAGCTTATCAAGGAGCTCCGCCCCTACGTAACAAATCGACATCTTCTTGCAAGATGCTTGAATCTTCAGAGCATTTTAAGATGCCATTACATTTTGGATTTAGTCCTGTGCAAAATGTTTATTTTATTTATTTTATTTTTAGTGATTTTTTGGTTAATTAAGTTATTTTGAATTTTTAAGGACCCACGCAGATGACATGTGAGGATCGTATGATTAAGGATATAGGAGTGGGATGTACCAAGACAAAAACAGGAGGCAAACTCTTCACTTTTGACTCTTTAAATTTTTTTCTTTTTTGGGTTTACTTTTACATTTAATGCTTTTGTCTTTTTCCCAAACCCACACTCCATACATTGGTTAAATAACCCCCCATTTCTCCCCTTTATATTTTATTTATTTCTTTCTACTCTCTCACTCAAACTTTATCTCTTTCTCTTCTTCTCCTCTCCTTAAACCGTACACTATATCCAAAAGCTTCAAGCTTTTTCGTCTTTTCTTTCTTTTGTCAACAAACAATGGTGCGCTCACATCCACCCAGCATGACTCCATCATCTCCATCGTGTTTCATCAACAAAGTGGCGCAAGAACAATTTCAAGGGCTCAAAAACCATCGTGTTTTCTTTGAGTTAGGATTCATCTTCTCCAACACTGAAGATGTCAAACTTGGAGGCAATGTCATGGACATTGTCCACCAACACAAGTGGTAAAAATTTTCTAGGCATCCGGGGAACGTGAATGCCTCTGTTGTGAAGGAATTTTATGCCCACTGAACAGACCCAAATCAACATATAATGGTGGTTTACGGTATTTCTATTCGCTTTACCCCTTCAGCTATTAATCGTTACTTTAAATTGTAGGTTACTGTTGATAGCCACACCATATTCATAAAGGAGGCAGATAACGAGACTTACCATGGCATATTGGAGGACCTTTGCTTTTCAAAACCAAAGTGGAATGGGCAACAAGCCAGCCGACTATCAGTGGATCACGAGAGGCTACAATCGAGGGCTAAGTTGTAGAATCATTTCATGAAGCATAAGTTTCTCCTCACTGCCCACAACATCACTGTCTCACTGCAGAGGATGGTTTTGATGTACTCTATTTTGGTGGGGAACTCCATTGACATAGGAAATATAATCATGGAACAAGTTCATACTTGTTTGAAGCGACCAGCCAGTGGCCTGGTATTTATAAACCTCATCACTGCACTCTACCGTAAGAAGAAGGTGCTCGAGGACCAGTTTCTCGAAATATTACATAGGTTGTCTGGTATTACAAAGACCAAGCTACATGCGTTTCTTGGATTCAAGGAAAACAAGGGCAACGAAAAAGAGGATAGCACCTCCTAAGCTGATGTAAACCGAGATGCCATGGAAAAACTAGACACTCTAGAGGAGGTATCCAAGCAGACCCAAGATCACGTGGAAAAGCTTACTAGCAACCTGAAAACATTCTTTGCCTATGTCAAGCGTATGGACGAGGTTGTGGTGACTACTTTCATGAAGCTCCTCCCGCACATTGCTTTTGATCTCCTAGTCTTCCCTGATATACTTTTGCGTACCTCTGTGGATGCAACGACATCAGCAGATACTCCCCAACCAACTAATGAGAAGGAGCCAGAAGATACTGATCCACCACTCAGTGCCAAAAACCGAATGCCAAGAGACTGAGCTTCAGCTACCAACCTTGACAGCACCCTTGCATCTCACAAAGCCATTTGATGCAGCACAATCAGAAATTCCACAGCAATTTCCTATGCGAAGGAGTCAAGGCCGTTTGAAGAAGGCGTTTCATCATGAGGATCCTCAATTCACCCCGATCCCTGAAGGCCTTAGGACTCCCTACTGCACCACCAACAAATTCTGAACATTATATCCCCATACCATTGTGCAAATGCCTACGTGGTACGGTAGCCCTAACACCACCATAAATAGTCAAGGTGCCTTATATTGCATTGCATTGCATATCATGTAGTCTAGTTTTTACTTAGTTTTTATTTAGCTTTGAGGATAATGCTTCTCTCAAGTTTGGGGGAGGTAGGGTTTTCAAGTCATTGCATGATAGTATTAGTAGAATGAACATGTCATGACATTAGTAAGTGTTTGAATTA